CTACTGTTTCAGTTTCTGCTGTCTGTACATCGTGCGGTCTACGCATGTTTCGTAGTGTGTGTGGTACGATCTGGAACGTTCGCTTTGTGGTGTGCATACACCTCCCAAACCAGGTGTACGCGCACTTTGTGGTGTACATACACCTCGCAAGCCAGGTGTACGTGCACGTTGTGGTGTGCATGCACCTCTTAAGACTGCCGTACATGCCTTTTGTGGTGTACGTACACGTCGTGAGGCAGGTGTAAGTATACCGGCGGATAGCCGATACTCTAGGTAGGCGAAAGTTGTGGCCAGATTTTTTTTACGCTGAGGGCTTGCGATAGCCCCCAAGTTTCGGCGTTTGATTCAGACGTCTACAGGAGTAAAGAGAGGGGCGTCTCGGCCTTGCCTCAAGACCAGTTTTATATCGGTTCACGTAAATTTGCTAGCAAAACCTTTCAGCCGTTAGGTCTTTTAGAATCCAACCCCACACAAAAAGGAAAAGTGGCTTGTTGCTTGCAAGGACTCCCTTAGAAAGTGTAGCGGCCGATGTTTAGGGTTTTGGCACTATAGGATTTCGGGCTTACAGATCTCTAGGGTTTAGGGTTCAGGGCTTAGGCTATCTAAGGTTCTGGCTATCTAGGGATTAGGCTGTCTAGGATGTAGGGTTTGCCGTTCGAGTTCCTTGGGCAGGGCTTAGTTCGATGTGCTGACACTGTCTGTACACCGCGCAGCGCAGGCTGGTGTAAGCTTCTGCCACCCCCAGAGAGGGACTGATTATCTGTAGAGCTGTCCCTGTCTGACATATGGGGAGCTAAGGCGCTTGCACTACGGCTTGCGCAGCCCGCTGAGGGACCCCATATATATATATATATATATNATATATATATATATATATATATATATATATATATATATATATATATATATATATATATATATTTATATGGGCCTTGGGCTGCTGTTGTTGCTGCTCAGCAACCCAAACGACCTAAGGCGGAGATGGCTGCAGTGTTCTTACATCCGTATTTGCTAGGCAGCCCGCTACTGGCTCCAGCAGCAGCAAGATGAACAGCTCCAGCAACAACAACAACGGGGACAACGACAGGAAGCTTGAAACTGCGCAGGAAGCGTCTCTCCCCTACGGGGTTTACTTTACTCTCGACCCCATTCTCAGCAGCTCCCGGTACACCTCAGCTGCATCCAAACCACTGAGACCCCCTGTTAGTATGTTGCTGCAGACTCAATGTTATGTTAGGGAGGAACCCCGATAGCTCTGGCCCTAGATAGTTGCAGCTAGCTGTAGCTAGCTACGGCTAGCTGGAGTTGCCAGCGCTACGCGGTCACCCCTGCTTAGCTGTGCTTGGCTACCTCTAGTCGCGGAACCAATTTTGTTGAGTCTGGCAATCCGTTTCCACCAGCCAAATCAGTCATCGTCGCCTCTTTAGTTCTAGAAGGTCCCAAGCAACAGCTAGCCGTTTCCTCTGTCTGCGATATGCAGGCACCTCGGCTGCGCAGTTGCAGCTACTACCTGCCTTCGGCTGTCATTAATTTTAATTTCCTATCAATTTTATGCAGCAAAATCGATGATTTTGCTTTAGTTATGCAAAACAATAAAAAATATTTCGCTGCCAGCCCCCCCCTGGGGCTGCATGCGCTTCTGATTCACCACAGCTATTGGGCGAAGGGAGAAAGCAGTGGTTATTGAGTTTGTAAATTCAATTTAAGGGAAATTATATACATTTTCTCTCAGTTTATTCTTCATTTGTGCGTTTCTGTTCGCTAAACCGCTACCTTTGCACCTGGTCACTTCGCTTGTCGACTGGCCTAGGGTCGCGGTCTGTCGTGCTTTTCTGCTTTGGACGCTCTCAAGGCGATAATATACTTGAAGCGGTTTTTTTTCTTTGTCTCAGATGCAGTTTGTTTTCATTATTTCTCCTGAAGTCATCCAGGGCGCTCACTTTTTCCTTACACAGCACTTTTCTTTTCGTTGCTAAGTAGACGCATACACCTTTCTCCTAGCTGCTGCTACTGACTGCATTTCCACTTCCTTTTGCCTGCCTGTGGGAGCGGCTCTTAACTTAGGCTGTTTTATATTCAGCTGCTCCGGGTCCTCTCGGATCCGGTGCTGCTGCTGCTGCTGTACGTACACTGCAATCAACAGCAGCGTCGCATGATGCGCAAAAAAGAAAACGGCAGCGAGTGGAGACAAGTCAGGAACCTTGAGTCCCTGGAGACCGAAAATGACTCTTATATTGAAGACCTCGAGGCCAGGGTTCAGGGCCTTAAGGAGGTACAAGTTGTTGCTGCTACTGCAAATGCTGCTACTGCTGCTGCAGAATGCGGTTGCTGTTGTTCTTGTTGTTGCTGTTTTAGTTTTGCTGTTGCTGATGTATGGTTGCTGCCGGGGCTTATGCTTCAGCTGCTGCCGTTACTGCTGGTGCTGCTGTCGTTGCCGAGGTGTTGTTTCGGCTGGCTCTCCAGAGGGGTGTTGTTGCTAGTTTCCTTGTTGCTGACTGCTCTCATATCGATGCATTCGCTTTTCCTGTTGCTGCGGCTTCTGCTGGAGGTTTGAAAGAAGCTAGGGTTTAGGGTTTCGGTGACAGTTTGCGTGCACTGCGGATGCCTCAGCTTAGCCTGGCCATGAGGGAGGAGGTGAAGGCTTCGAACAGTCTCCTTGGTTCGATGGTGAGAAACACAAACAACAGCAGCAACGACAGCAGCAGAAACAACAGGAGCAGCAGGAGCAGCAGCAACAGCAGCAGCAGAAACGAGAGCAGCAGTGAACAACCGCCAGGCCGTCAGGAGACCGGAGGCAGCGCAGCCCGTAGCGCGGCTGTAGCTTGAGGAGAGATGGGGAGGGGACGGCAGCACTAGGGTTTAGGTTGTATGGTATATGTTTTAGGGTTTGTTTACCTGCTGCAGATGGGGCGACTGGAAGGGGTGCGGACGTCGGTGCGGAATTCTGTTCGGCGGATGGACCAAATGTTTAAGTCTGGGGTGAGCCTTTCGCTTCTGGGGTTTAGGGTTTAGGGTTTAGGGTTTAGGGTGATTCGGAGTGAGTCATTCCTTCGTCGCTTTAGGGTTCACTTCTGCCTCTTTAGAGCCTTTGTTACCTCTCGATGCACCTCCCGCTGCGAATGCGCGCATGCTTTTAAGGGTTTAGCGTTTAGAGTTAGTGTTTATGATTTACGGCTTAAGCTGTAGGGCTCAGCACTTAGGGCTTAGGGTTCAGGGTTTAGGGTTCAGGGGTAGTAGTGTTGAGGAATTCTGTCTTTTTTGCAGGGAGGCTGGCACATGCTGCANGCCAAGTGATGCTCCAGGGTTTAGTGTTTAGGGCTTGGGTGGGCCTAGAGCGCCCGCAGTATCCTGGCCTTCGGTGTCTGTACACCGAGAAGCGAAGGTGCTTGCCGGCTCGGCGCCTCGGCGCTTTGTAGCCCTCCCCTCTGGTGGAAATGAAATTGAATGGTTCAGGGTTTTAGGGTTTAGGGTTTGTGGTGTACGCGGCTTTTCATTATGCAGCGGTGCCTGCCACCACTGAACATTCTGTTAAATAACTCTTTTAGAGCGGAGTGGGGTTAGGCTTGTGCCGACAAAGAGGAATGACCTCCATATATACTGTAACGACACTCAATTTTTAGTGTACATACACCTAAATTGCTTGCCTAGAGGCTCCAGGCCTTGGTGGAGGGGAGATATGCAGCTGTCTAGGGCACTGGTGTATCGATAGGCGCATTAGGGAGTTGAGAGAGTGCCTTCACTGGGGTGTACATACACCGCAAGCCTTTTGCATCCTTCCCGCAAACGGGGCTTGTTAGGGTTTAGTGTTTTAGTTTTTAGGGTTTAGCGTTGGTACCGATGCTGGGGACGGGAGGTGTTTCAGGCTTAGCGTCTAGCCAGCTGTACAAACAGTGGCCAACCGCTGGAACATTTAGGGTTTAGGGATTAGATCAGCCTCCAGATAAGCCCTAGGCAGGAGGTTTAAGTAGAAGACAGAGGCTGTGGGGTCCTGTCGCCACAGCGAGGGGGAAAGGCTGCTGGGGGAGACGATTCCCTTGCTTCTTTTTCTGCTCTCTCTCATGTGTACAGACGCCTCAGCGTTTTACTTTTGGTTTGTGGTTCGGGTGTAGGGCTTAAACCCTGCGTGGTCAGGGCATCTAAACAATACACAGTACAAAATGCACAGGAATGCAGGATATGCTATTGACAACAACAATAATATAGTTACTGCTGAGGTTCCACTATTTCTAGACACAAGATTTGTTGTTTCGATGAACTACTCAAAGCTGCTCAAGATTTCGTTGCCCCTTTAAGGTTTAGAGTTTAGGGTTTAGGGTTTAGGCGTTAGGGTCTACCAACCAGTACGGTCCGTGTGTACTGGTCACGGGCTTTAAGNAGGGTTTAGGGTTTAGGCGTTAGGGTCTACCAACCAGTACGGTCCGTGTGTACTGGTCACGGGCTTTAAGGGGCGATTCGGAGAGAAGTGTGTGGCTGCCCATTTAATTAAATATTATTTACTCTTTATATACTAAAAGTTCAATGATGCGTGCATGCAGCAGCAGCAGCAGCTGCTGCTGCTGCTGCTGGGCGAGCGGTCGGAGAGAACGCACCGGACCGCTCCAGCCTTCGCAGCGATGAGGTGTACAGACATCTCCTCATCAATGAGTTTTAATGGAGAGAAAATAACAGGGGTATTCCCTCCTTATTTGCTATGCACATCAGGTTTTAGCCTCCTTCTTAGGGGGAGGGCTGCTGCTGCTGCTGTTGCTGCTGTTGCTGCTGCTCCCTGCGGCTGCGGCTGCAGTTCTCCTCTGTCTCTCCTGTATAGACAGTGCTCAGCCGCAGCAGCAGAAACTCCAGCAGGAGCAGCAGCGCCACCAGCACCAGCAGGAGCACACAGTTGAGTTCCTGTTGCTGCTGGAGCTGCTGCAGCTGCTGCAAAGGCATCAGCGGCCGCGAAGATGTATCGCCAGCAGCAGCAACAACAACAGCACAATCGGGAGCAGTAGTTGCTGCCTTAGTCGTGGCGGAAGCAGCAGAAACAACTCCCGTTGCAGTTAGAATATATAACAGGTAGCAGCAGCAGCTGCACAGGCAGCTGCGGCAACTGTTCCAGCAGCAGTTCAAGCAGCAACAGCAACAGGTGTGCTACCATAATATTGGCAACCTCAGCAGCAGCGGCTGCTGCTGCTGTGGTAACAGTTGCAACGGCAGCAGCAGCAGTTGCAACAGCAGCAGCAGAAGTTGCAGCAGCAGCAGCAGTTGCAGTAGCAGGTGCAGCAGCGACTGCTCTCCCTCGGATCACAGAGCAGTCAGCTGCTGCACCAGAGGTAAGCCGCTGCAGCAGCAGCAACAGCAAGCAGTCTTCTAGCAGGTAATCAACAGCAGCTGCGGCAAAGATGGCAGCAGTTGCTGCAGCGCTGCTGCAGCCGCTGCAGCAGCAAGTGCTTGGGGCCATTTTAAAGGNAAGATGGCAGCAGTTGCTGCAGCGCTGCTGCAGCCGCTGCAGCAGCAAGTGCTTGGGGCCATTTTAAAGGCCCTTAGAGACCGCATAGGGTATTACCTTGTCGCGGTTGACACACAGGCAAAGATGGGTGCGGACCTGTAAATCCTAAACCCTAAACCCTAAACCCTAAACCCTAGCGGTGACCAGTCCTGAAACCGAGGTCTTCTTCGAAGGTTGAGCTCTACGGCAGCCTTAGCCATAGGCTTTAAATTCTAGATACATGCAAACCCTCATTTTTGTTAAACTCTAAACCATAAACCCTAAACCCTCTCTGCACGTGTTGCGTGATTGCAGAGGGTTTGCTGGACCGCCTCCACTTGGAGAACGTCGAAGTTGATGCAGCTCATTTGACGGAGGAGTTTCGCAGACACGAGGCAAGTCTTAAACCCTAAACCCTAAACCCTAAACCCTAAGTCCTACCTGAGCAAAGAGGTGCCTGTCGTGTAGTCCCTTCGCACACATGTAGCTCTATTCTGATCCCCTGTGAGTTCCTCTTCGGGTTTCTGGGGCTTACAGAGCATGGTTTAGGGTTTAGGGTTTAGGGTTTGGTGCGCAGATTCCTTTAGAGGTGATAGGAGGCGGTATTGCCCTAGTGGATACGCGGCTTTATTTAACCCACTCGCGTCTCGACATAATTGCAGAGCGTTGCGATCTGCGGCTCGCCCCCAAGAACTTCTCATCTGGGACTGTAAACCCTAAACCCTAAACCCTAAACCCTGCAGCCTGTGAGAAGCGCGGATGCAGGGGACGTGTGCTAGCCATTGCACAATGAAGACCCTAAACCCCAATCGCGAACCCCTGGATACTTCTTGTCGATAAGAGCAAAAGCGCTGCCTTGATGATACCTTGGGGTTTAGGGTTTAGGGTTTGCAGAGACTTTGTTGGAGTGCTACAGGAAGAGAACCTTGCACAAGCGGCAGAACGACAGCTTCAGGAGGTTCGCGATGTCAAACCCTAAACCCTAAACCCTAAACTCTAAAAGCTAGCTGCTCGTCTGAACGCGATCGTCTGTCTTGCAAATATAATACCATTTAGGGTTTTTAGATGCGTATTGGGTCAAGCAGTGCTTCATTGGATGGGCGGTAGAACACGACGCTTTTCGGCTTTAGGGTTTAGGTTTTCGGTTTTAGGGTTTAGGGTTTGCGGCTCAGGTGGAGGAGCACATTCGTCAGTTTTTTGTTCATCAGAAGCAAAAAGATCTGCACCTGAGGCAGCAACGCCTCGATCGTTTATTAAAAGAACACCCCAAGGATGAAGGGGCAAGAAGAGAGTTTGCTGCAGAGAGTAAAGAAGTGCAGCAGCAGCAGCAGCAAACGGTACCCTAAACGCTACATCCCAAAACCCTACACATCTGCTAAAAATCCTCCATCATAAACCAGCTCATCAGCGTCCACACATATACAAGGGACTTAGAAACAGAAGCGAAGCCTTCCGGCTAGCTGTCGAATTACACATACGGTTTAGGGTTTAGGTCTTAGGGTTTAGGGTTTGTGGCATTGCAGGCGTCTGCAGTGGAAGAAACGCCCTTGCATTCCATGCTTGNTTGCTTTCGTTCCATGTTCAGATAGCTCCATATTTGGTGCTTCGTTTCAGGGGATCTTGTGGCGCTTCTTTGCATAGACCGATCTTTGTAGGATAAGCGCTAGGGTTTAGGGTTTAGAGTTTAGGGTTTAGGGTTTGGATGCAGGCTTGAAGACGTCAAGATCAGTTTGGATGACCCTTCGGGTTTCTTCGGGCCGCCTGCAAGGGCGGTGCTCGGCATCAAACGAATCATCTTCAAGGCAAGGTTTCACTTTGTCTCTTAACCCTAAACCCTAAACCCTAAACCCCAATATCGTGATTCTTAAGGCCAGGCATAAACCCTAAACCCCACGCCATAAACCAACGCACAAGCAACAACCCGACAGAAACAACTATCAAGATGCAGTCATCCTTGTGCTCAACCAACCCGTTAGCTTATGCGTAAAGGGGGGTTAGGGTTTAAGGTTTAGAAAATAGGGTTTAGGGTTTAGGGTTTGTCATATGTTGCAGCCGTCTGCATCGAAGTCGCCATGGGGATTCAACTGGAACGGATCCGCTCCAGTGTCTTTGGGCCCTCAACTTTCAGAGGGGGAAGTGGAAGGAGCTCTGGCTGTTGATGTCTCCGTTCGGCAGCTGCAGCTCTCAGTCAGCAGCAGCAGCAACAGCAGCAGCAGCAGCAGCAAGAACCCAGGCAGCAGCGAGAGTGACGCGGTGTGGCTTGACGTGCTACGGACAGAGGAATTACAGCTTCACCTGTTTGTGGAGAGAGAGGGCAGCAGCACCAGCAGCAGCAGCAGCAGCAGCAGCAACGAGCAGAGAGGACCTCTTCGCTGGCGCGCATCCCTGAATGTTTTAGGGGAAGAAGAACTTCAGATAACTGTTGATGGCTTTTGTATTTTTTATTTCTTCTGTCTTGGCTCAAAACTCCAACATATCCAAAACCTTAGACTCCTCAGCGTCTACAGACCACCTGTAAACCCTAAACCCTAAACCCTCACTTCCTTCTCAGCGGGCTCAAGTTGTTGCTCAAGTACAGAGCCACTGTTGATGGTCTCAAATTTAGGGTTTAGGGGAGCGGTTGCAGGCTCGTGTGTGTCTAGAGTATTGCTCTCCATAGGGGAACTGTGTACTGTTTGCCCTTGCAGGGTTTAGGGTGTAGGGTGTAGCATGCAGGGTGTAGGGTGTAGGGTTTAGGGTTTAGGGTTTAGGGTTTAAGCTGCTGCTTTGTTCAGGGGCGGCCCACAAAGTATCCGAGGGATTGGTGGCTGTACATTAAAATGTATCTGCGGCTGCTGCAACGCGAGAGGAGAGGAACTGACAACTACTTAAAGCAGACGGAAGAGAGAATGATGCACATGAAAAGGTAGGGTTTAGGGTTTANTATGAATATGCAGGTTCATTCGCCTTGTAAAGCTGCTGCTCTTGGAGCATCGAGAAGAGCAGCAGCAACAGCCCCTATCGCAGCAGCAGCAGCAACACCAGCAGCAGCAGCAGCAGCATCTAGGAACCGGATCGGTTCCCCCCCTTACTGACTTGCTGAAGCCCGTGATGGCTCGCTACAACCAGCGTCTGCAGCAGCAGCAGCAGCGGTGGCGGCGGAGACAAACTGTAGGGCAGCAAGAATCTGATGATGTGTTTCTGCTGCTGCAGTTCGCCCGACGGCCTTTTGAGGGGATAAGTTTGTGGGTGTTGATAGCAGCAAAAGAAAATGAAACAGCTCTAGATGCACTGCAGCAGCAAGGAGATGAAGACCTACAGCAGCAACAGCAGCATACGCGCAGATTGCGGCTGCTGCGGCAGCAGCACGCGGTGCTGCAGCAGCAGCAGCAGCAGTTCACGTCTCCGACGGGAGCACCTGTGGTGAAGGGACTGCAACAGGAGCAGCAGCTGCTGCTGCTGCAGCAGCAGCAGCAGTTGCAGCTCGAGTTACAGGCGAATGAGAATGAGCAGCAGCAGCTGCTGCAGCAACTGCAACAAAGCATCAACCCGGCGATCCGAGAGAAAGTTGTGTCTTTCTTTTGCACTTCATCTTCCTTCTGTCAGGAGGCGCGTGCTGCAGCAGTGACGCTCGAGAGAGGACAGCAGCAGCTGCAGCAACAGCTGCTGCTGCTGCAGCGGGAGCGTGGCTCAGGGCACAGCAGCAGCAGCAGCAGCAGCAGGCTCATTGAAATGTATAGACAGCAGCAACGAGCTGCTGCAGCGATGTGCCGCGAACTAGAAGGCCACAGAGACACCTGGAAGCTCTCGAGGTGGCGCATGCTGCTATGGGCGGAGCTGCTGTCGGTCTATGAGGCTTCGTTTCCTGCTACTGGTGCTGCTGCTGCTGCGCTGCTGGATGACAAGGCCCTCAATGAGCTGCTGCAGCAGCACAGAAGCAGACAGCTAGAGGAGACATTCAGAGAGGGAATGCTGAAGCCCAGCAGCGCCTTAGATCCTGTCTTCACGCGAAAGGCAGCTCGCATTCCCCCTGCTGCTGCTGCTGCTGCTCCTGCTGCTGCTGTTGCTGCTGCTGCCCCTGCATCACCAGGAACGCCCGCAGACCTGACAAGGCCTGATACTGCAGCTGCGGCTGCAACTGCTGCTGCGGCGGCAGTAGGGACTCCAGCAGAAGCAGCTCAAGCAGCAGCAGCAGCGGCAGCAGCAGCGGTAGCAACAGCAGGAGGTTTGCGGGAGGAGCACCCGACGCCTCCTCAGCAGAAGCAAACCGTGCTAGGTGCAGCAGCAGAAGCAGCAGCAAACATCCCTCAGCTGCTGCTGACGATAGGGAAGAGTTGCGACCTGCCGGTGCCGATGATTTTGCACAAACAAAAATTTGGGCTGTTGCTGCGCTCAGTGACGCTGCAGCTGGCACCACTACTCACCCTAGACACCTGCCAGCAGCAGCAGCAGCAGCAGCAGAAGTGGCTGTTATTTGAAGCCCTCGACACAGCAGTGGAGCTGCAGACGCTGAATGCAGCGTCGCTGCTCTGCTGCCTCCGCTGCCTTGAGCTGCACCTCTGCAGCGGTCAGCTGCAGGTAGAAAGAAGCAACAGCAACAGCTGCAGCCATTCTGGCTGGAAGTGTCAACTCGAGCAGCAGACCAAAGCGCTGCTGCTGCGAATGGCGCATAACTCTGCAGCAGCAGCAAACGGCAGCAGCCGCCGCAGCAGCGTCTGCAGCAACAGTGAGAACGCTGCATCGCAGCAGCAGCAACAGCAGCAGCAGCAGCAGCTGGCTGTCCCGGTTGCCTTTACCCCCGGGGGAAGCAGCAACCACTCAAGTGGTACCATCCAGCAGGAGCGGCGCAGCACCAGCAGCAGCAACAGCAGCAACAACAGCGGAGGAAGACAAAGTATCTGGCAGAACGCGTTGGATGCCATAGGAGTTGCTGCGAGTGCAGCAGCAGCAGCAGCTGCTGCTGCTGCTTCCGAAGCAGAGCAAGCAGCGACACGATCCCGCAGAGGGTCGCTGATAGAAGAGCTTTCCAGCAGCAGCAGCAGCAACACCAGCAGCAGCAGACTAGGAGCAGCAAAAGCTTCATTTCAAGAATCTGTGAAGACGGGAGTGCTGCTGCAGCAGCAGCTGCAGAGACGCCTCTCGTTCCTGTTGATACGCCTGACAGCGTTGCCGCTGCTGCAGCAGCAGCAGCAACAGCAGCAGCAGCACTTGCTGCACCAGCAGCACCCCCTGCTGCGCATAGGAGTTCCTCTATACTTACAGGCAACTGCAAAGTTGCAGCACGTTTGGGGCTGTATCCAGACAACCGAGGTTCAGCTGCTGCAGAAGCTGCTGCAGCAGCTGCTGCTGACAGTCGCAGCAGCAGCTGCTGCTGGAGGCAGACCAGCAAGCAGCTCTGCATACACAAGGTAA